ATTATTTATGATTTTTCATGTAGGAAAGTAAATAAATGAAACTCAAGGAACAAAATGTACTTTGATTTATATTTTGGTTTTTTTCTGAATGGGTGAGAGAGGAATAGGATCTATTGTTGCTGAGGTGAAACTGAGGATTTAACTGTTGCTGTTAAAGCTTTTGCCATAAGGAAATGGATGCTTCTGTGGGGACTCTGTCCCAGTCCTTGTTGATACCAAAAATTAAATTTCCAAATGATTTATTTTGTAACTTCAGGATATTTTAATTTTCATACAAATGCAGCATTTTCACGTCTGCCCATCCCTTTCCTATTCAGCAGAGACCAGAGCTGGCAGGGTCAGGAGGCCTGCCCTGCAAACCCCCATTATTCCATGAATGAAGCAGCATTCTCTCTTCAGAGGTGATGAACTGCTGAGTCAGAGAGGCACTTTGGACATCTGGTTTTGCCTTTAGGAGCTGTTCTGACTCAGAAAATTTTGATCCAGAATTTCTGAGCATTTGGAAAGGGAGTGGTACCAGCTGAGCTGTTAAAGGAGGTCTGAAATAGGACTTGGCTTGGGGGACCCAGAACATTTGGTTTTCTCCTGTAACAAATTGGTGTTTTTAGGAAGTCTCCTGAAAGTTAATTTCTGAATTTCGGAGATGCCAAAGCAAATAAGTCTCAGTGTTTCATTTTTCCAAATCTCAAATACTCAGTTAGTCTTTTGGTGTTGGACCATCTGCCTTGTGTAATCATAGCATAGAAATTCCTGAGCTGACACAAGTTTGTTTCACAGATTCAAATAAAATCACTTTTTTCACAATAAATAGTTAGTCTAGGGAGTTCTATGATAAGGATCATCTGGGCCCATTTAGGTTTCAAGCTGCAAAGAGATGAATTCATAGATGAGTAATACATTGAGAACTATTAGTTGAAGAAACTGCACTGTTGGCTCAGTGAGCCCATGAGTGGAAGCTGTTAAATGCAGGGAAGGTATTTAGGAGAGTCATCAGTATGTGCTTTCCCTGTTTCTTACTTTCAAATCCATCCTTGCTTGGTTTCAGGCAGCTTGCTGGATTAGGTGAACCTTTGATCTGACTGCTATACTTGCAGTCATGATGCTGATGATTTTTGCATTGTGGTATTTGCATAATTATGCTGCAATTGTATGTATTATAGTTATTTTAATTTTTTTTAAGAAAGCAGTTTCTCAAGGTGTTTTTTCTCTCTCCAGAGATGGTGATAGCATAAGGTCATTGAATTACTCTGTAGTGATTATCTTGACTGTATGTTATAGGGGAAAATGCTGCATGTCATGGTGTCAATATATCCTCTCTGTATGTGTATAGATATATATCTCAAGTTATGTGATGCAGATCATAGAATCAGCCTGGTTGAAAAAGACCTCCAAGATGATCAAATTCAACCCTACCGTGGTTACTAGACCATGGCACTAAGTGCCACATCCAGTCTCAGCTTGAAAACCTCCAGGGATGGTGAATCCACCACCTCCCTGGGCAGCA